CATCGGCGAAGTTAGGCCGAATTACTACTACGTGTTGGCGCAAGGTTAGGTCGTTGCCTCGCTCTCGTTTCCTTTATATCAGCTCTTGGGGTATTTTTTCCTGCAGCCGATTCCTCACCCTCTGTGTTACTGTTGATCTTATTTATATTATCCATATATTACTGATATTTTCTTTATAGCGTTTTTGTGGTTACTGCTTTGTTGTTTTCGTTACTTGTATTCATATTTTTATTGTCGCTTTTTCTCTACTTTTTTATCATCGGCTATTTGAATTTGTATTTCTTGTTGTTCATATTCCTCTTTTAAATATTTTTCTTTTATTCGTCATTTTTCAATTCATATTTCTCTTTTGAATATTGTTTTCCCCTTTATTCGTCATATTTCAGTAAATACGAAATCTTTAGGAAAACTTAGCTCTAAATGGATTTTATTATTTTTCATTAATAAATATATCGTACTTAATCATTTACATCTCTCGTTATTCTTTTAATAATTTCGTACTTATGAAGGTCATTTTCCCATGCCTTCTGATTTATTCTCGTTTCTCTGCAATTACTTCTGACTCGGATAATGGTTAAGAATAATTTCCAACGGGAATGAGGACGAAGAGAGATAAATCCGCGTCCTATTATCCTAAAGATGCAATTTATCGTCAATCACTCAACCACCTTCCCTCTTTTTCTTAGCGGTCATTAGCATACGATAAATCTTTTCACATTTACCTTGATTATAAGCCCATTGAAGTGGGTTGCGACCTCACTGTAGGTAAGGGTGGTGCTTATGACGTAGATCGGAATGGATATTAAGGATATGTGTTGTTATTAGTGGTGGTGATGACGTCATTAAGAGGACAGGGATATAATGATACAGAATAAAATGCATTTGTCTTTTAGGGTTTTAATAATGGCTATGAGATTACATTTTAGTGTTATGGAGACTCTTAAGCAATATTCCGAAACAGGATATCTACTCTTAAAAAATATCATTTATCCATGCAAACTCTTATATCCACTCAAGAAAATTAGCATTGAAATAACCACATGGTATGCCTTCCCGTCCGAAGATTTTTTTTTTAAAGAGCCACCATTTTGTATAAGATTCAAAACTCCCGGCCGTAACGACCGTTACGACCTCGTCCGCCGAGACGAAGTTATCGCCGAAGGAGGTTTTTATACGACGTCTTACCATTAGCGGGTTGTTCCTGCAGAGGCGAGAGTCGACGGGCGTGACCATAACACTTGATTTCCCCTCCTCGGGACGCCCACGATCCGCCCGTTAACCTTTTCTTTATGGGTTTCGAATTGGGGTCTTGTGGGCAGGCGTGGCACAGGTGCTAGAAAGTGCGAAACAGGTGTTATTAGGATGGGTAATTAGGACGGTGTTTTTGGGGGTATGTGGGTATTGTGCCAGGTGTGGGTAGTGTGACATTGGTGTTTAATGTATTCGCTTCTGGGTATTGCGACGGGAGATATCTAGATGGTTTGATGTGTGCTTGGGGTACTGTGACACGGGGCATTAGGGCATTTTACTTGGTGGTGAAGGTGAGCCAGATGTTGAGGGTACGTATGTACTGGGCCATTTCTAAGGGTTCTTGGTGTATTCGAGTACTGTGTTCGATGACGTAGTGATGCCAGGGTTATGTGGTTCTCAAGGCAGATGTTTGGATGTTGTGGGTAAGGTATATACTGACAGGTGTCCGGAGTTTTGTGTGTAATGAAGGTAGATTGTTATTAGAGAAAACCTTATGTAAACAAGCATATCTATTCTTACAGACTAAAAGCAAACCCCCATTTCAAACGTTTGATTTAATGGGGAGGTCTGTTTCTATAATGAAGATGTTAATGATGATGGCTAATGCAGATTTTGGGTCATTAATCAGTACTTGATGAACCTGTGGGAGGGGCGTAGAGCTTAAGGCAAAGTAATGGGTAGTGAGAAAATTTGAAAATATTATTGATATCTATAATGTTATTGTTTGTAAATGCTTGATTGTAGAAATGATACTTTCTTTGCTGAGAATTTTAGGTTGTTTTAGGTTTTATTTGATAACAAAGAACGTTAGAGTTGTTAAGGTCATTACCCCCCCCTTCCCCCTTCCCCCTTCCATTCACTCTTTCGGTCCCGTCAGCTCACCTTCTGACCTGGCTGTGACCCCGCCCAGTCACCTGCTGATACTCCCGACAATCCTGGTAGTCCGCCTCCTGACGTACGACCCTCACTCACGCCCACGGCTCCAGAATACGACCCACCACCCAATCATTCCCCACTCACGCCCACGTCCCCAGAATACGACCCACTACCCACTCATTCCCCACCCACGCCCACGGCCCCATAATACGACCCACCACCCACTCATTTCCCACCCACGCCCACGGCTCCAGAATACGACCCATCACCCACTCATTCCCCACACCCCTAGAATACAACCCACTTCTTCCAGTACAACCTCATCCCTACCCCTACCCACACCTACTTCCAACTCACGCCCCTTCCAAAAACGACCCACACCGCCCACCCGTTCCCCACCCACGCTGCTTCCTACACGACCCACCGCCCACTTCCCCCACTATCTCTATCCATCGTCTGAGAGGATGAGAAATGACGTCTTAGGGAGTATTGTACGTCACCCGATGGTTTTGACATTCACTTCGCGATCGTGGGCGGGTGGCAGGTGAGCTTGTTTGCTTGTGTGTGTGTTTTGGTTTATATATATTTGTTATAGTGTGTGTTTGTTTGCTTGTGTGTGTGTTTTGGTTTATATGTATTTGTTATAGTGTGTGTTTGTTTGCTTGTGTGTGTGTGTGTGTGCGTGTGTGCGTGTGTGCGCGCGGGTGTGCCTGTGTCATATCGCCTTTGAATGTCTTTGAATTGAAATTGCCTTTACCTTTATTCAATCATGACTACGCTAGTAAGAAGCCAATCAGATGACATTTAAAAGGTCACAGACCTTATACAGGTAAAAGCGGACACCTTCTGCTCGCATACATTAGATACGTGAAAGAGAAATTGTAGTAACCCGAAGACTTACACACACACACACACACACACTCACACACACTCATATAATTTTTTGTGTGCGTGTGTGTGTTTAGATAAGATTTACATTAGCTTCGTCGCCTCTTTACAGAAGCTGATAACTTCTCAAGACACGAGACGTTTGTTAAAGAGATAATGGATCTTTCTCTCCCATTCTCCTTTCCCGAACAAGCATTTCCTGTCATGCCCGAACAGCTGTCAATAAGCAGCTGGGTTTGAGAAGGCATTAAAAAAACAGGACAGGAATGCTGGCCAGATTTAGAGGACCTGCAACCTTATATAAGCAGAGATTTCCCAAATAGTATTTACCTTTTGACATAATCAACCTTAATGACACTTGTAATAACGCCAACTTATTACTTTGATACCAGCCTTCCCGTCCGCGTAGAATTTGGGAGAAAATACCGGGCGTCCAAACTAGCAGTAACTAGCATGAACATAATTATTTACTTTCTTTTTCAACTCGAAACGCTAAAATCACTGCGCCTTGATACTGCGCAAACTCCGGTGAATACAGAAGCATCTGTGAGGTGAAGAAAGAGGTATCTGATTGCTGTTTTACAAAGGAAATAAAATGGTATCCTGTGGTGAATGTTCGACAGTGTTCAGGCGGGAAATGCATCTGAATTCGTACGACTCTTTGTAAGGAGGGATACAGCTGTAGAAAAGAAAGGAGAAAGAGGAGTGAGAGGAGGAGGAGCAGAAAGAGGGAGGGGGAGGAAGAGAAAGAGGAATGAGAGGAGGAGGCTTAGAAAGAGGATGGACGAGAAGAGAGAGGGGATGGAGGAGAAAGAGAAGAGAGAAGGGCAGGAGGAAAAGATGAGAGGGAAGAGAGAGGGGCAGAAGGAAGAGTAAATGGAGGAGGAGGAGGAAGAGAAGAAATAGGAAGTGGGAACAGAAGGAAGAGAGAAGGGGAAGAGGAAGAGGAAATGGAGGAGGAGGAAGGAGGCAGGAGGGGAAAGGGAGGAGAAGGGGGGGGGAGGAAGTAGAATGAGAAGAGGAGAAAGGGGAGGGGGAAGAGAGAGAGGGAGGGGACCGAAGGCGTTGTTATCGACGGCATGAGCTGTGAGGGGGCACCCACGTTCCTGTAAGGTCGAACTGTCTGTTACATAGTAATGAGCTCATCACCCTTATAAAGTAAGAAATGACCCTTAGGCATTCAGCCCTGGTCTCGGCGGATCTTGTTATTGGCCCTGAGTTATTCCAGTACGTCAGAAAATCACTTGCGACGGAGCTTATTACCTGAAACGTTATGGCAGCTGGGTAATGAGAAATGAAATGAGGGAAAAATGATTCATACGTATTTGGATAATGTCTCCATCCATATACAACAAACTTTTAACCTACATAAACCATATATAGAAGATATTATCGATGGATATTGATTACACTATTAGATATATATAGAATATATTAGATGTACATACTATATAACGTGATTTAAAACTGATCTTTTTCACATCACTCCACCTCCCGTCCACACACCCAGACGCCCACCCACCCACAGAAAACACCTATAATCACCCGTCCATTTAAGTTTACCAAATCCCGTTTCATAATTAACATGTTAGTGAAGGTGAATTCATGTCACTCTGAGAGATATGAATGTTCCTAACCTTAACGACGTGTTGGCATGAGATTCAGCGATCTATATACACAGCTAGTTTTTCCTACAAGAAAACGAAAGAATAAAAAAGAGAAAAAGAAGACAAAGAAGAAGAAGCAGAAGAAAGACTTTCACCGTGATATTACCAAAAGGCTTCAATTATTTTCACATTAAAGAAAACCTCGATTTCTTACGGGTTTCAAAAACTGGGCGTGACATTAATTTCGCTAATGTTAATATGATAAGGATTAGTGATGGTATATGGTGTTATTATATTGTATTATTATTTGTTTTTTTTTTTGTGCTATTTGGTGTTATGGTCATTTTATCTAATTTTATTTTTTTTATTTATTTTCAGCAGTAACGGAGGAGAAGAGAAGAGCGTTTACAAGTACAGGTAAAGTGACACGTATTTCATATTAACATAAAGAGTATAATTCATTCCAACCAATTTATTTAAATCTGATATTTGTGATTTTCTGAATATATTATCACTTCAAAATGATTGTTCGAATGTTTAATATACTTCAGATGTAATATATAATTTATAGTAAAATTGAAATTGAAGTGGAATGACAGTGAACAATGAAAATGAATACGAAAGGATTTATTTTTTTTTTTATTACTTTGTTTTGATTTCATATGTGCGATTCACATGTGGGTATGACATTGCTTTTACACACATTCGAAGTATTATATTTTGTATTCATATTTTCATTTCATCTACAAACTACAAAACTTCTTCCTATAATGATTATATAAAAAAAAACGGAAACATTTATGTGAATATAAACATGTTTAAATATTTGATACGAATATAGAATATAGAGTAGTTTCCCATCTTCCCGTTTTCTGTAAACACGAAGAAAAAGATACCGATTTGCAAAGCGGTCAAATCACTTGCTCGGTAATTAACGCTTCATTTCGCACTTAATGGAGTCATTTCATCTAAGTTCCCTCCGGCCCATATAAAGCCCGTCGTGAACTTCACTTACAAACTAATGGAAAGCTAATGAGGTGGGCGTGGCTAGTCGATCAAAATCAGAGTTAAAAGGGGCGGTCCTTAGGGTGCACTCAGCGATCATACGCGTCGCTGATTGGTGGGTTGCAGCCCCTTTAAAGAAACAGTTAAGGGCTGTGATTGGTGTTTACGAGAACACTTATAGGGTGTTCGTGTTCCTTAGATGGTCATTGAAGTGGTGATTGACGAATGGAGTTTTAAAGGTAAGGGGAGAAATTATGTCTTTTTTATGCTTTTTTTTTATTGAATGACTTCGAGTTGTTTCCTCAGTGAGATTTTTTCAATTTCTTTTTCTTTCTTTTTTCCCCTCTTTCTTGAGGGATGAACAGGTATTCAAAACCTTCCTTCGTTATATATATATATATATATATATATATATATATATATATGTGTGTGTGTGTGTGTGTGTGTGTGTGTGTCTGTGTGTATGTATGTGTATATATATGATATTAATTTAGATTTTTTGCTATTTTTTTCTTTTCATTTAATTATTCATTCATTCATTTAGTTATTCATTTGTTTATTTTTTCACCCATTTATTTATTCATATAATTACAGCTCTAAATATCTATACTCATGACTGTAACATCACAAACAACATCCTTGGGGACATAACGAGCCTGTTTACGGTCATCAGCTTCACTCAACAGCCATTGAACAGTCATCCGTCATGCTTAGTATTATTTCCTCGTCAACCCCTTCGATAGACAGCTAGATAGACTGGTAAGATAGATAGATAGATGCAGACGAACGGATGTGTAACCAGTAGGATAGATAGATAGGCAACGAGATACAAAGGCAGATAGATAGGTAATCAACCGCTAAGATAGATAGACTAAAACACACACACACACACACACACACACACACACACACACACACACACACACACACACACACACACACACACACACACACACACACACTCACACAATCACATACAAAGACAGACAGACAGACACAACTGCGCCGTAAAATACGAGGTGGAGACTTAGCCATTATATTCCACCTGCAAGCTCTTAAGGGTCAAGTTCATATATGGGTATCCTAGAGATGTAGACTCTCTGGCTGGTGAGAAATGTGTTTGTGCCAAAGTGTTTAGTTACTGAACCTGTATAGTTTTGCATTAATTCGAATAAATAAAGATGAAAAATAAACATAATTCAGTAGAAATCACACACTAATATAGATGAATAAAATACCATTTTGTTATTATGAATTAAGCTAACGTAGAAAATAAGAAAGAAGGAGAAAGAAATACCCCCCCCAAAATATACTAAAAATTCAAGCATAATAAAAGTTAACGATGTCAATGAAAGTAAACAGTCCGGGAACGAGAAGCCGATAGCCTTTTGTCTTTTCTCTCTTTTTATTATGTTCGTCCAAGAGAGAAAGGGTGTTAAAGGGAACGCCCAGGTGTGTGTTGTTTGCGCTGCAACAATGCAAAACATACGTGCAACAGAGCATAAATCATTAGCAAAGGTGGGATTGGAAGTGCATGCAGAATATGCACAGAGGATTTAGAGTTTTAAAATTTGTTTTGAAAAATATATGTATATCTTGCAATAAGAGATTGTTTTAGGAATATCAAAATCGAAATGATGTTTTGAAATGCAAGGAAAATATATGTCAAAGATCAGAACGTAGAGATTTGACTTGAGAAATCGGATAAACTGATAAACTGAAAAAAAAATAAAATAAAATACTACCTTGGATTCCTAAATGATTCTCGTTAAATCCCACTTTCACGTCGACCTTTCTCTCGGAGGATAATCGTCAACACTTTCGTAGAATTTAAGAAAATAATAAAAATAGCGAGGGTTTTATTTTGTGCCAAGGATCGCGCGAAATGTTGAATGCAGACTCATAGATGTTTTGGGCACAAATTTCTTAAGTCTAGTGTATTTGTCCTGTTTTTAGCTACAATATATATCAGAACAAGAATTCGTACTTGGAGAATCTATAGATCTGAGAGAGTATATTCAATATTGGCTTCTTTGTTTCAATGTCTTCCTCGGACTCGTATAACACACACATTCACTTGCATTCGTAGCCCCCCCTTCACCATATCTCCAACCTCACCCACCTTTAACCCCTGTGATATTTACATCCAATTCACTAAATCGGTTCACAATCCTTTAATGTCACTGTCACACCTTAGTTACCCGCAGCCTACCATTCACCGCCATGTAACTATTACTCTCTGTCATAACAAACCTGTACTTAAATCCTCGTCGTCTACGCACAGGTTTCTTCACTTGTTTTCTTCATTGCGTCACCCCTACATCTCTCTCTTCCACGTGCGCTCTTCCACCTCAATTTCTATCCACATGCATCCACCTTCGTCTCCACTTTCACCCCCCTAAGAAGATATCGTATCGCAGAAGCCATATTTAAAAGGGGAGGCGACGATGATTCAATCTCGAGGCGCATTTCACACGGCGGATTAAGACCACCAGTTTTTTTTCTTTCTTTCTTTTTTTGTCCTCCAACTCGTGCATATAAACACGATGGGTAATAAGTACTTTCACCGACCTTTGTGTCTTGTGTCTTTTGATATCAAAACGGTTTTCCTAATCGCAAATCAGAGAGATACAAGGGAGATAAGTAGAGTCGACGGATGATTTGATAGACAGACCTAGCATCGCAAAGAGAGAGAAAGAGAGAGAGAGAGAGAGAGAGAGAGAGAGAGAGAGAGAGAGAGAGAGACAGAGACAGAGACAGAGAGATAGAGAGAAGGTGCCACACCTTAATTAGGACCTCCCTGGCTGGCACTCCAGGAGGCCGGAGGGACGCAACAAGCTCCCAGGGGCCGCCGGACATACACGAAGACTGGCTTGGGAGGCCGTGTGTGTTCGCGTCTCCGCATATGGGTATGAAAGTGTGAGTGAGGAGAGAGGGTCATGAGGTCACACGCAGAGAGGAAAAGGGGGTGAGGGTGAGAGAGAGAGAGAGAGAGAGGCGCGCGCGCGTGTGTGTGTGTGTGTGTGTGTGTGTATGTATGTGTGTTTGTGTGTGTGTTTGTATGTGTGTGTGTGTGTGTGGGCGTGCTACTATGCCTCCGGTGGTTGGGGTTGTGGGAGGTCTTCATCCTGACGGTGATGAGTAGGCCTTGCGGTGACAAAATGCGGGAAGTGTAATGAAACGGATACATTAACTAGGGATCTCTCTCTCTCTCTCTCTCTCTTTCTCTCTCTCTTGCTCTCTCTCTCTCTCTCTCTCTCTCTCTCTCTCTCTCTCTCTCTCTCTCTCTCTCTCTCTCTCTCTCTCTCTCTCTCTCTCTCTCTCTCTCCCCCCCCCCCCTTTCTCCCTTTCTCCTTCTCCCCCTTTCCCTTTCTCTCTCCTCTCTCCTCTCTCCTCTCTCTCTCTCTCTCTCTCTCTCTCTCTCTCTCTCTCTCTCTCTCTCTCTCTCTCTCTCTCCCTCCCTTCTCTCCCTTTCTCCTTCTCCCCTTTCCCTTTCTCTCTCCTCTCTCTCTCTCTCTCTCTCTCTCTCTCTCTCTCTCTCTCTCTCTCTCTCTCTCTCTCTCTCTCTCTCCCTCCCTCTCTCTCCCTCCCTCCCTCCCTCCCTCGCTTCCTCACTTCCTCCCTTCCTCCTTTCCTCCCTCTTCCCCTCCCTTTCTCCTTCTCCTCCCCTTCTCTCTCTCTCTCTCTCTCCCTCCCTCCCTCCCTCCCTCCCTCCCTCCCTCCCTCCCTCCCTCCCTCCCTCTCCCCCCTCCCTCCCTCCCTCCCCCCACATCCACACTCTCAACCCCCCCCCCCCCACCCCTCCACCCACAATTCCCCCAAGGCTTTGCGACGGCGCGCGGCAGGAGTGTACCTCGACCGTCGCCCTGGGTTTCTCCTCCCTCTGCGCGCGCTTCCTGTGGTGTGTGTTCCCTGCGGAGGCGATCGAGACGTCGGTGCGAGTGCGGTTCTGAGCCAAAGCCGAGGGACCCTTCGTGTTGACAGGGCAAAGGGGGAGAGGGGGAGGGAGAGGGAGGGAGAGGGAGAGGGAGGGATGGAGGAAGGGGAGGGTAGGAGGGAGAGAGGGAGGGAGGGGAGAGAGGGAGAGGGAGGGAGAGGGAGGGAGGGGGAAGGAAGGAAGGGGGAGAGAGAGAGAGAGAGAGAGAGAGAGAGAGAGAGAGAGAGAGAGAGAGAGAGAGAGAGAGGAAGAAAGGGAGAAAGAGAGAGAGGGAGGGAGAGAGAGAAAGAGAAAGTGATAGAGAAAGAAAAAGAATAAAAGAAAGACAGAAAGAAAATGGGAGAGGGGAAGGGGTGGGGGAATTAGTGGAAGGGGAGGGTCGTGACGATGACGGAGAGGGACCTCTTCGACGGAGAGGATGATGCGCCTGTCACCATCGTCGCGGGAGTGGTGTGCATTCGTCATACGGTGCGGTTTACGAAATAACGCAGTCACGTATGCGAGTGTGCTTCGCTTTGGGCGATGATTGTTCTCGCTTCAATTATTTCGTTCCGTATTTGTAGCGTAACTGAATGAATGTCTTTTTTATCGTTTTATAGAAAAAAACACACTAGTGACATTTCATTGTTCTATTAGAAAAAAAGGTATATCTCCGTATCGCATAACAGCACAGCACTCGACGGGAAAAAGCGATGTTATGAAAGAGTTAAAAGAGGCGATGAAAAGTGTTTTGACAGCCGCGAGAAGCAAGCGTTTGAAGTGTTTACGCAGGGAATTATACGCAACGTGGCAATCACCGCACAGAATCGCTTACTTTCACCCTAAAGAGAACGACCGACCAAGTAATTAAGCTGTGTCCATAAGTAAGCTTTTTAGGTGTCGCATCGTTTTAAAAAAATATTAGGGATAACGACCTGATCCTGGTAGAAGGAACCATATTTGGAACGGCCTTCCCTCCCTCCTCTCCCTCCGCCCGTGCCTGGGGAAACGTTTCCTCTTGTTTACCTCTCGTGGGCAAACGTTTATGACGAGCGAGAGTAGTTATTGCACAGAGGCGACAGAAAAAAAAAACTATTTACCCGCCCATGCGAAGGGTGAAATATGAAGGTGATTTTGTGCCGAGCCTCACTGTGAGACGCTTGTCGTGAGGTGCCAGGGATGAACGCATTATTATGAGTGGCCTCCTTGTGTGCGAATGCTGGCTTACGAAGAGCGCTCCGTGGAACAAAACGGGGACGAGATATCATAAACAACAAGAATATTAACGAAATTATATCGATTCGAAGTAGATCCGAATATGAACGAATACGAAGAGATGAATAAAGTAAGGGGGAGGGAGGGAGGGGAGCGAGAGACACGGTGGCTGGCAGCGGGAAGAGAGACACGGACAGACGAACGTGCACGATGCTCCTAGGGTGTTGTAATCCCCGTCTGCTCTCTCCTCTCGGACACACGCACGCGCAGGGGAACCCGTCGAGGAAACTGAGCCTTGACTGTGCGATTTTATCTAATTTATATGTCAGTTTGTATCATTTTCTCGGTCATGCTGAGTCGCTTTTACTGCTTTGCTGGGTGTGGTAGCGTGTTTTTTTTTGTGTGTTACCCTGTCTGCTCCTAACATGGGTCTTCTGATATCGCGTTTTTTCCCAGTTTTTTTTCTTTCTTTCTTTCTTTTTTTGAGGGATAAATTCGGGTTAAAATGTCGAGAAGAATGATAAAGAGAGAGAGAAAAAAAGCGAAAGTTGTACAAGTGATAACGAAGGTGAAGAGGTCGTGAGCGCCGAAAAGGTGAAACAGAAAATCAAAATCACGCGCAATTTTTCTCTCTTTTTCTTGCACTAGATTTTTTAGAATTAGAAATAATAGATTGCAATCAGCTAAAATATATATATCAGTAGAAAGACCCATAAACAAAAAACAAACAAAAAAGGTTTATCCTCCGCTGATAGAGCAAATACGGAGAGGTTAGCTAGCCAGACTTGAAGACTGGCGATGCCCATATAAGGGTACCGTAGCTCCTATCTCAGCCCAGCCAACCGCTGTCTCTCTTTTCTACCCAATACCCTTTTCTATGTTGCAAAAATCAATCTTGCCATGATATTAGTAACATTTCCCCAAACGTTGGATCTGAACCAACCTTCTAAAACCACAGTGCCTGCTCGTAGCCATTATAATCTCCAATTTTTTCCCCGAAAATACCCAAATTCTTTTCCCCTTTTTTAGTCCTCTTCCACATACGACGTTCCTCTCCCTTTTTCACCATAACCGTCGCCGTCACCATTAACCTGTCCCTACTTAGGCCTACCGTCTGCTGGAATGACGTTGATAATGCCTCGCGCTAATTGGCACTCCGGTCGATAATGCCTCACGCTAATTGGCACTCCGGTTGATAATGCCTCACGCTAATTGGCACTCCGGTTGATAATGCCTCACGCTAATTGGCACTCCGGTCGATAATGCCTCACGCTAATTGGCACTCCGGTTGGTAATGCCTCACGCTAATTGGCACTCCGGTCGATAATGCCTCACGCTAATTGGCACTCCGGTTGATAATGCCTCACGCTAATTGGCACTCCGGTTGATAATGCCTCACGCTAATTGGCACTCCGGTCGATAATGCCTCACGCTAATTGGGACTTCGGTTGATAATGCCTCACGCTAATTGGCACTCCGGTCGATAATGCCTCACGCTAATTGGCACTCCGGTTGATAATGCCTCACGCTAATTGGCACTCCGGTCGATAATGCCTCACGCTAATTGGCACTCCGACTGAGTCCTCTGGAGGTTCTGTATGGAAATAATGAGTCCCAGTTGAGCGTATTGATCAGCTGTATCAGAAGGCCGGTTGCGAGATGGTTGCAAGGGGGCACTGTGTTGCATGGTAATGGATATGGGGGGGGGGGATGATGATGATGATGATAATGGTGATGATTATGATGATTATGATGAAGATTATGATAATGATGATGATAATGATAATGAGGAGAAAGATACTAATATTAATACTAATACTAAAATCAATACTGTTGCTGATACTACTAATGATAGTAGTAGTAATAATAATGATAATAGTAATGATAAAAATAATGACGATAATAACAGTGATTATAACTAATAATGATAGTGATATTGATAACAATAGTAATAATAATAACAACAGTAATAATAGATAAATCAACAAATAGATTAAAACAGATTAAACTCATTGCCATAGACTCCCATCTGTATGAAAGCGCCCGAAAAAAAATAAAGGGGATACTTACTTATTAACCAATTAAACAGTTCGTGTAAATTTAATTATGGTGTTAATTAAATGCTATAATTCTAAATCTTGTTGCATCAGTTTAATGACCCCAGCGAGTGCCTGCATCTGAATAAACACGAGAGAGCCTTGGGTCCTTGTGAATTATATTGAGGAAAATGATGAATAAATCGTTTTATATTATTTTAGGCTTGTCGTTGCGTATAATTCGCTGTGTGGTTGATCTGCCTGTTATGTTTTTATTTTTATCTATTATTTTTATTCGTTTTATTTATTTATTCATTTATTTAATTTTTGTTTATTTTATTTATCTTTTTTTCTTTGTTAGAAATGACGGTGCCGAAGTTTCAAAGTAGTTGCATCATGTTCGTAATTTTTGTTTTTTCGCTTTTCATAACCAGCGTAGAATAACGAAGGTTTTAACGTGGAAAACGGGAAGGGAATGCAGGAAAGGGGGTGGAGGGGAAGGGAGGGAAGGCGTTAAAGGAAGTGGAGTGGAGGGAAGGGGTGGAAGGAAAGAAGTGGAGGGAAGGAAGTGGAGGGAAGAGATGAAGGGAAGAGCAGAGGCATAGGTGGGCAAAACTCCCACCACAGACCACGCCTCATGAACCAGTAATGTGGGAAGAGCCACGTCGTTTGTACCCACGCCTACACGCACGCACTCACTCACTCACTCACTCACGAATACACGCATGGGATTTTATTGTAATATACGCAACCTTACAACTCCCTCCCCCTCCCCCCCTCCACTCCACCCCTACCCCCTGTAGCTACTACCTAGTGTTTACTAGTTCTGCGTATGTGACGTATGTGGCGTATGCATTCATTCGCGTAAGTGTTACTTGCCTAACGTGACGTAAGCGTAATGACGGATTTGTGTAACACAGTGTGACGGGTAAGTTGGAACTTGAGGGGGGATGGGTGATGGGGTGGGGTTGTGGGCAGGTCTGTCTGTCTGTCTCTCTCTCTCTCTCTCTCTCTCTCTCTCTCTCTCTCTCTCTCTCTCTCTCTCTCTCTCTCTCTCTCTCTCTCTCTCTCTCTCTCTCTCATGCTCTCTCTTTTTTCTGTTTGTCTCAATCTTTCCCTGTGTGTGTGTGTGTGTGTGTGTGTGCGTGTGTGTGTGTGTGTGTATATGTGTGTGTGTGTGTGAAGGATGGAGAGGGGGGGGGCGTAACTCTGCTCTACTTACGGCCACTTAGAAACCGTGCACACTTACCACTTAACTGTCTCTCCATTTTAGGAGAAACATTCCTTTTTAAGCGACTGTTTTTTTTGTGTTTTATTTTTTTTCTCCTTAATTTTCTTTTCTTTTTTAAGCGAATTCGATATCTGATTTATTTATGGAATTTATTTACTTGTTAAAGTATCGTCGTCTTATAAGATATCATATTTCATGTTTCTAATGCTCGTATTTTGATGATAAGACAAGATAATGATTGTATCTTGATTTTTATTTCCTATTTCCATGTCTACACACACTCTCTCACACACACACACACACACACTCTCTCTCTCTCCTCTCACTCACTCTCTCTCTCTCTCTCTCTCTCTCTCTCTCTCTCTCTCTCTCTCTCTCTCTCTCTCTCACTCTCTCTCTCTCGCTCTCTTTCTCTCCCTCCCTCTCCCTCTCCCTTCCTCTCCCTCTCTCTCCCACTCCTCTCCCTCTCTCCCCCTCTCTCCTCTCTCTCTCCTCTCTCCTCTCTCTCTCCTCCTCTCTCTCTCTCTCTCTCTCTCTCTCTCTCTCTCTCTCTCTCTCTCTCTCTCTCTCCCTCTCTCTCTCCTAAACAAACGCGTTCGTTTAGACGCAAGACACAACACACGACGGTGCATCAAATACGTATGTTGAACCTGCCAAGAATAACAAACAAATTGAAAACAAGATAATTAGGCGTAAGGAAAGGGAGCAAAACTGCCATTCCTCGAAGCGACACGCGACACCGCCCAGTGCAAGGTCTGGCCCGAGGAATGTCCGTTGAATTTGGGTGACTTCGTGTGTTCTCATGCCCTTCTTCGATTCGCAGGCGGGGATGAGTTCGGTGGCGGCGCCCTTCGGGGCCTCCACCGCCCTGACCGACCTCGACAGCATCACCGATGAAGAACGTCTCAGAGTCATGGTAAGTTTTTGACTCTCTCGATTCTCTTTCTTAAAATATATAGGCCTACATTTTTTAAATGGCATAATTATCACAACGAGATTTTGTGGAAGCCTAAGTCATTTCTTAAAGGTTTTGCTTCCTTAAAGTAGTAGGGCTGAATTTCCTGACTAGAGCATCAGTTTCCTCGGAGAAAAGGAGTCCCTCACGTAGCGCTTCCCCCGCAGTGGCAACAGGCCGAAGACTTCGGTGACCGTCGGCGGATCAGGGCGAGGATGTACAAGCTCCGGGAGCAGCGGCTGCGCGAGATGGTGCAGAACGACGAGGAGAGTCTGGGCACGCTGTCCACGGCCGACGACGGCACCGTGACGGAACGCACCGAGACCACCATCACCGTCGGCAGTGACGGAGAAGGGATGACTACGACGACTACGCGACGCTCCTCCAACATCGAGGTAAGGCTTGTGGCTGTCAAGGGATGGGTCTGTAGTTGTATGATATTTGTCCAGATTAGTCAATAATTAATCTTTAGTTTTAGCGTTTTTCCTCAATGATTACTCGGCGAGGGCATGCATTCCACTAACAGTTCGATAAACTAAGGCTTTTGCATTTTTTTCTTCATTGCTTCATGGCTTTGCAGGTGAAGATGCATGTGGATGGAGACTCGGCAGTAACAGATTCCATTTCAACACAGAATGTTCGTCTCGGTGGACTCACGATGCGCGGAATGGACTCCATGACCCTTGAGGGACACTCGGCAGAGGACATGATCAAGGAACGCATGCGCAAAGGAAGCCAGGACCGATCGACGAGGTACCAGAGGATCCTTGGAGAGCTGTCGGACGATGCCAACAATGAAGGCGATGCTGTCGTCTCCATTACCAAGTCTACATATTCCATTCAGTCCAATGCCCTGGCTGGTGAAGGATACCTTTCCATGAAGAACAAGGAAGTGAGAGACTCCGTTTCCCCGACACGCATCATGAGAGAACGCAGATCCTCTGCTGAGGAGGATGTGTCGGCCAATGAAGGACGCTTGACATCCGATGATGAAGGAGTATTGAGGACTGAGAGTGAGAGCAGGACCCTGAGGACAACAGAGACAAGGACGACTTCTTCATCCCGCAAGTCGTCACGAGATGAACGGTCCTCCAGCAAGACCTCAAGAACAAGCAAATCAGAGATCCCCGTTCGTAGCTCGACTGCCCGGAAAATCTCAGACAGGAAACCATCAAAGGAACTTGACATCAATGCGGCTCGTCGTAATGCTGGAGATAAGGCCTCACCTTCATCTCCTACGAAGCGAACTCCGGGCGACAGTTCATCCAGAATTCAAATGACAAGAAAGACAGGAGCTCAGAAGGAGGCCCCAGTCACCACAACCAAAACTACAGTAAAGACAACAAAGTCTGGCATCCCGTCCAGGAAGTCAAAACTAGCAGAGGTTGAAGCAAAGATGGAAACCTCCATCATGTCTGAGTTAGACAAATTAGACACATATCTTAGTGCAAGTGTTGATGATGATGATGAAATTATCATGGAGGAAGAAGAGGAATGTCTTGACGAATCTGGCAATGTTGTAAAGATGTTGGTTCAGACAAGAAGGAAGAAGGATGGGACTGAATGCACTGCAAGGCGTGTGGCAAGATCAACCAAAGTTGTTAATAGTGAAAGTGAGATTGATGAGATTCTCATTGGAAACCCAGACCATGAAGTGGTAGAAAGAGATGTCACTGAGGAAGAGGACAAAGACGGCAACAAAATCAAAATTATTACTGAGACAAGGCGTAGACCTGACGGAATTGTATATACTACTAAGAATGTGCTGAAGACATCAAAGATCTTCGACTATGACCACCCAGAGGACGTCGCCTACAATGAGGACGACGAATTGATTTCTACTGACAAAACTGAAGAAACAGATGAAAATGGCATCACCATTCAGACTGTTACTGAAACAAGGCGAAAGCCCAGTGGAGTTGAGTACACCACTAAGAAGGTATACAAGACTTCTAAGGTAAAGAGCACACAAATAACACCTTCTGATGATGATGAAGTGATTGATACACAGGAGACAGAGGAAAAGAGTGAAGATGGCTCTATTATTCGCACTGTTATTGAGACTAGACGCACCAAGGGAGGAGAAGAATATACCCACAGGCAAGTGTTCAGGTCCCGTAGGATGACTCTGTCAGGTGTGGACCTACAGAAGGGTCTCCCAACAATCCAAAATGATGATGAAGTCTTGAATAAGGAGGAGAAGGAGGAGACAGATGACAGTGGCATGAAGATTAGGGTTGTCACAGAAACTCGAAAGAGGAAAGATGGATCAACATATTCATTTGAATATGTACTGCGTAGCTTCCAGGGCACAGAAGAGGATGTAAAGAGAATGCCAGTGGGAAGCGCTTGTTCTTCTAATATCGCTGTTAGTGCTGAGGATGAGCTGATAAACGAGGAAGTAAAGGAAGAGGTTCAGTCTGATGGATCAACAGTCAAAACCATCATCGAGCGACGCCGCACAAAGGACGGCACCGAATATCTCCGTCACCGAATCATGAGGATTCCCAAAATGCCTGAGCCAGTGCTGCAAGTGGCCAACTTGGAAGATGAAGTCTTGCAAGAAGAGGTCAATGAGGAAACATTGAGTGATGGCACTCACTACAAGGCAGTGACCGAGCGTCGCCGAAGCAGTGTGTCTGGTACCCAGTACACACTTCGAAGGATGTCAAAGGTGTATCAGCAGGCAAGCATCCACCCTAAGACTTCTGAAGATGAGATCCTCGATGAGAATGTAACTGAAGAAGAAACAGATGAAGTGTGGACCTACAGAAGGGTCTCCCAACAATCCAAAATGATGATGAAGTCTTGAATAAGGAGGAGAAGGAGGAGACAGATGACAGTGGCATGAAGATTAGGGTTGTCACAGAAACTCGAAAGAGGAAAGATGGATCAACATATTCATTTGAATATGTACTGCGTAGCTTCCAGGGCACAGAAGAGGATGTAAAGAGAATGCCAGTGGGAAGCGCTTGTTCTTCTAATATCGCTGTTAGTGCTGAGGATGAGCTGATAAACGAGGAAGTAAAGGAAGAGGTTCAGTCTGATGGATCAACAGTCAAAACCATCATCGAGCGACGCCGCACAAAGGACGGCACCGAATATCTCCGTCACCGAATCATGAGGATTCCCAAAATGCCTGAGCCAGTGCTGCAAGTGGCCAACTTGGAAGATGAAGTCTTGCAAGAAGAGGTCAATGAGGAAACATTGAGTGATGGCACTCACTACAAGGCAGTGACCGAGCGTCGCCGAAGCAGTGTGTCTGGTACCCAGTACACACTTCGAAGGATGTCAAAGGTGTATCAGCAGGCAAGCATCCACCCTAAGACTTCTGAAGATGAGATCCTCGATGAGAATGTAACTGAAGAAGAAACAGATGAAGGTACTATTATCAAGACAGTGATACAAAGGTATCAAAGACCAGATGGCTCTGTTTACACAACACACAACATTCAAAAGATGTTTAGCTCACCAGCACCTGTCACATTTGTGGGAACTGAAGAGGATGAGCTGATTGACCAGACAGTAGATGAGGAGTACTATTATCAAGACAGTGATACAAAGGTATCAAAGACCAGATGGCTCTGTTTACACAACACACAACATTCAAAAGATGTTTAGCTCACCAGCACCTGTCACATTTGTGGGAACTGAAGAGGATGAGCTGATTGACCAGACAGTAGATGAGGAAGAAACAGAAGATGGTTACATCATCAAGACTGTGACCGAAACCCGAGAGAGGTCAGATGGTGTGAGGTACACAGTAGAACGAACAGAGAAGACATCAAAACATGGATCTCAAGTTCACATTTCATTCTCTGAAAATCGCCATCAGCGGCCTGAGGAAGTCGTCCAAGTCAGCAGTCCAGATGACACCCTTGTGAGTTCTGAGGAAGAACAGCACGAGGAGGAAGATGGCACTATTATCAAGACCATCACCGAAATTAGGCGTCGTGTTGATGGAACAGAGTACACCTCCAAGACCATCTTAAGGTCCACACCTGTCCTTGTGCCAGAACGTGAAACCAGCTATGTAGTTATTAGGCCTGAAGATGGTGATGATGAGTCGGAATTGTTCCCATCACTTGATGACGAGGTGGTTTACACTAGAAAGAAGCAAGAAACTGATGAATACGGCAATGCCATTACTGTCATCATTGAAACCCGTCAGAGCAAAACAACTGGTGAGAAGTATAACATTACAAAGAGGGTTCACACAAAGGATGTCATCATGACTGATGAAGGTGAAAGGGAAATTCCTAAGCCAGTTAAGAAATCAACTTTGGAGGCAAGAATTTCGCCAGATAAGAAAAGACCTTCAGGTGATGCACCTGACGAAGAACCAGACAATGTTCCTTATGGATCGGTTTCTGCTCTGAAGAACAGATTTACTCCTGGCAAGAAATCAGAACCAACAACAAAGTCTAACAAGCCTGATCGGGTAAATACATCAAGCAAAAAGAAATTCTTTGAAGAAGCAGCAAAGACTGCAAGTTCTGAGATCACAAGTCTGAAGTCCTCCTTGAGGAAAACAGAACCCAGAGATAAGCCAAAGGACACTGATGTAGATGCAAAACGTGACCTGCTACCTTCCTTCACAGATGACAAAGCATCAGTGGAGGTGAAATTGCGAGTTGAAAGGGATGAAGCAACTGTTGAAAAGGTTACCATGCAGAATGTTACTAGTGAAGTCACAGAGGAAACTGATGTCACAGATGCACGAGAGACAGACATCAAAGACTTGGATACTGAGATTGCCAGGTTGGAAGAGGAAGAAAACGAAAGGTATGGACAAGATGATGAGCCTGAACCTGAAACAGATGAACCTGATGATGAATTAGGGGATGACAAGGAGCCGGAAGAGGAGATGTCCTCACCCACAGAAGATGAGCCTCAGGAGCCTTCCAGAAGGAGACCAGACACAACAAAGAAGGCACCTGTCACTTCAAGGACTACCAGGAGGAAGCCAGAAGATGAACCAAAGAAGAGGCGTGAAGTAAGCCCAAGGAAGAAGCCAGAGGCTGATGAGCCTTCACGGCGAGTCCCTCTTGGATCTAGGAAAGCCCCAGCCAAGGATGACTCTCCTACACGCCGGGTACCATCACAGAGAGATCCTGTTGCTCCTAAGGACACCAACAAGCGTGCTCCTAAGACAACTACATCCCCACAGCGTGTCCCCAGCTCCCCAGCTCGTGGGCGATCACCCATCAGATCTGGCGTGTCAACTCCACGTGAGGTGACACCAACAGGTAGACAGTGCTGCAAACGGCATAGGGAAGCAAATGAATCAGAGCCTGAGAGCCCAACCAGGACCCAAAAGCCAGAGCAAACCAGTCCTACTCGATCAAAGAAGCCTGAGCCCAGCAGCCCAACCAGAAGGTCAGCTCGGTCACCACCTCTCAAGAAACCCCTCTCCCCTGAGAGTAAGCCGAAGATGAATGGTGATGTTCGTCGTCCTGAGCCCAGAACAAATGGAGATATTGGAAGGAAACCAGACGACAAGACTCCAAGGTCAAGGAGACCAGGTGAAAAACCCAGTGAACCTGATAGAACAACTGCACGACCAACAAGGCCATCCCAGTCGCCCAGGAAGTCACCAACAACAAGGTCACCCGACAAACGGGAGCCAACTAGGTCTGTTCCTTCAAGAACAACTGATAAGAAAACTCCTGCTACCAAGCCATCTGACAGGACACCCAAGGGTCGATCCACAGAGCCAGACTCTAAAACTAAACCAAAATCTGGTGCCAAAGAACCAGTCGTTACCCTTCCTGAAACTCCCATGACAGAAGATATGAGGCCTCTTCCATCTGACGAGGAGTACAGTCCCAGGATAGAGGATGTATCTGGTGAGCCAGATCTGCCTTACCACACTGTCCACAGGCCCTCCATTGTCCGTGAGCCATCAGAGTACCCCTCTGACGGTCAGGAGGCTTCTGACTCCTCGCCAGAGGACAAACCAGAGGAGCCCTCTGAAGAGGAAGAGCCTCAAGATAAGAGACTCACAGACAGGAAAAAGCCTGTTGATGATGAGCCAAAGGATGACACTATCAAGCCTAGAAGAACAAGGCCTTTAGAGAGCAGGCCAAGTGACAAGAATATCACAAAGGAGCCTGAAACATCCAGAAAGAAGGCACCTGACACCAAGCAGTCTCCTAGAGATAAGCCATGGTTGACAGATAGGAAGAGTATATTTGAAAAGAAGCCAAGTGATACTAAACTTACTCCATCTAAACCTGATGAAGATAAGAAAACACCAGATAGGAGGAGACCATTTGAAAGAAAACCTAGTGATGAGAAGATGAAGAAACCCAAAGAAACTGAAAAGCCAAGAGATGAACCATCAGCAGAAGATACATCTCCAAGTGAAGATGAGAACAGAGAGAATGGAATGCCTGAGGAAGCTCCAAAATATGTCACTCCTAAAGAAAAATCTCCAGAGCCAGAACGACTGCGAAAGAGACCAGAAGAAGTCACCTCCAGAATCATTGAGGACGTTGAAAAATCAGTGTCCTCTCAGATTATCTCAGAAAAGAAGATCACAACAACAGATGTTGCAGCAAGGAGATCTGCCTTTGACCGTAAGACTCCTGTTGACAAGAAGAAGGATACTCCTACAAGGAAGCCATCCTATGAAATTAAGGAATCTGTCTTTGCAAAGAGGTCACTCTTTGAACAACCTAAGCAGGATCCAGTCCCATCACCCATTAAGCGTCCTACACTGAAGTCCACCATTAAGAAGGATGATAAGCCTAAGGAGCCAGAAGTTCGCAAGCCTTTGAAGGAAACGAAGGAGCCAGAGGATCGTAAACCTGTCAAGGAGCCGAAGATTGTCCCTAAGTATTTCCATCCACTTGGTGATGGTGATGAGGAAGAACCAGTCGAAAAGACTGTCAAGGAAGAAGTGAATGAGGACATTAAGATTACATCCAGTAAGCTGGTGATGAGTGCCATGGCATCTACCAATCAGACCACCACAAAGGAGGTGAGAAAAACAACTAGAAGATCTGAAGAACCCTCGGATGATAATGACGACAGACCCGAAGATGAGCGCCCGAACAGAAGAGAACCCTTCAGCAGGGAAGGCTCTCCAGCTGTGCACAGCAAGGAGGCTTCCCCTGCCCCACGTAGCAAGGAGGGCTCGCCCGCTCCCTTCAGCAAGGAAGGATCTCCAACTCGCTTCGTCACAGGAAAGCCAGTGGACAGCGGTATTAATCCAAACAAGATTCGCCGCATTGAGCGAGCCGGCAGTAACAAGAAGTTCTTTGAGGACTTGGAGGTCTCACGAGAGAACCTACCAGAGTATCTCAAGACCATTGAAACCATATATGATATTACAATTCTTGAAAGCATGGTAAGGTCTTTTATCCTTATTTTCATACTCTTGATCATAACATTTTACAAATAAAGATTTTAATGTATTTCATTTTGAAGCATATTTTACTTGATTTTCATCACTTCTTTCCCTTAATGCATTACAGTTAGAAAAAGCAGAGACCTATGAAGAGCGGCGCCTCATCCGAGGACAAATGAGACTGGCCAAGCGTCCCTCCACCACTCCGGGCACCACGTCATCGCCTGCCACCTACAAGCGCTTTGTAGACATGACACCTTCGAAACCTTCACCCACCGCTTCACCGCAGCCAACGCGACGTGTCGACAAGAAGCCAGAAGAGCCCAGAAAGGAACCCAAATCCGATGATAAGAAGCGCAAACCCATCTCCAAATGTAAGTTTGATAGCTTTCTCTCTTTCACTAATTTTATCCATCACAGAGAGTTAGGCTTTGGGGTATTTTATTTCCTTGATATCTAACAGCTACTGATGACTAATATTATGCTTTATTAGGCTTGAATGAGCTCCCGTTCTCTAATATTCAGATGATATATCAAACACGACGAAGGTGCAAGTTCAGATTACCCATTCTGACCAAAGAATCCCTTGTGGCTTGAGAGACTTTTGCACCCCGAGATATTTCAGCTGTGATGAATACTTACAGGTCCTCCCCAGAACAGGCACGCTCGCACTAAAACAGTAACTCCTCCCCCTCATAGCACTAACGCTTAACTGAACTTTTGGCCCTCACTAGCACTCCCTTCGCTGTCTATCCTGTCCCACGCCAACAAACAAGGCTCCATGCGCACCTCCCCGGGCAATTTGGAGACCTCCTCCTCCCTCACAACTTCCACCACCAACATGACCTCCACCACCACGAGCTCGAGTGCGCACGCCACCCAAGGAGAGAGTAATGCCCCGAAGAAGCTTTTCACGAGGCAGAACTCCCGCACAGACACTGAGGGCTTCGTCCTGTCTCCCGTCAGAGACAGAGACGGTAGCCTGATGGTGGGGGTGAAGGGGATCGTGTATAAGATCAAAAAGTTCGAGAGTGAGTACAAGCTGACGACCGTCGTGGATCGGCTGTAGGATCTAGAGATTCTTGGAAGATCGGGGTACGAAGAAACACGTAGTAGGTGTCTGGTGTGGTGAATTATTGATGAGATTGACAGTGGGAAAAGGCCTCGAGTGCCCGATTTTTTTTTCTTTATTGATACAAGCACACAGTCTGTTAATCTGATCAGTAATTCACTTTAGTTTGCCCTTCTCTTAGTGAAATAGAAGCTTGACTAAATCATGCGCTGTGAAAGTCCCATAGGAAGGATTAACTTCGTTTCTTTCAGACTCGGAAAAAAAGTGATTGCATGCAAGACGATTGTGATCTATTTTGGTTGTGTATCCCTCATTGTCATAGCCACTAGTACGGCCGTCTAAGCCATCACGTTACAGGAACTATCATGTTAGAGATTAGTGGAATGAACATTTTTTCTTTCTTTTGTTTTACTTTTTTTCCCTAACGTTGATTTCCGATGCCGCGACTAATGTACTAGCTAACCCAGATTTTTTTTTCTTTATTGATACAAGCACACAGTCTGTTAATCTGATCAGTAATTCACTTTAGTTTGCCCTTCTCTTAGTGAAATAGAAGCTTGACTAAATCATGCGCTGTGAAAGTCCCATAGGAAGGATTAACTTCGTTTTCTTTCTTTTTTTACCTTTTTTTCCCTAACGTTGATTTCCGATGCCGCGACTAATGTACTAGCTAACCCAGATTTTTTTTTCTTTATTGATACAAGCACACAGTCTGTTAATCTGATCAGTAATTCACTTTAGTTTGCCCTTCTCTTAGTGAAATAGAAGCTTGACTAAATCATGCGCTGTGAAAGTCCCATAGGAAGGATTGACTTCGTTTCTTTCAGACTCGGAAAAAAAGTGATTGCATGCAAGACGATTGTGATCTATTTTGGTTGTGTATCCCTCATTGTCATAGCCACTAGTACGGCCGTCTAAGCCATCACGTTACAGGAACTATCATGTTAGAGATTAGTGGAATGAACATTTTTATTTCATTTTGGCCATCATGGGTTATGTCGCTCCTCACTCTGACCCCATATTCATCTGAGGCTTTGCATGCGCTATGCCTTTCGTGCTTGCTTTCAAAAGTTGCATCTTGAAGGTAAGGAATTTGATCCTTATTGCAAGCTGCATAGAGCCTGGAATCCTATATAAGTACCCGGGAGCAAGCGGGTTTTTCCTAGCATGCTCATTATTTACATGTATATTTGCTTTTATTTTTTTCTGGGTACACGTGTGTGTGTGTGTGTGTGTGTGTGTGTGTGTGTGTGTGTGTGTGTGTGTGTGTGTGTGTGTGTGTGTGTGTGTGTGTGTGTGTACGTGTGTGTACGTGTGTGTACGTGTGTGTGTGTGTCTGTGTGTGTGTGTGTGTGTGTGTGTGTGAGAGAGAGAGAGAGAGAGAGAGAGAGAGAGAGAGAGAGAGAGAGAGAGAGAGAGAGAGAGAAGGAAAGAAAGAAAGGAAGAGACAGAGAAAGAGAAATTGAGTGAGAGTGTGACAGTGAGAGAGAGGGAGGGAGTGCGTCAAAAGTGCGAGTGTCAAGAGAGACAGAGTCAGCATTATATATATACAAACTTGCCAATGCCGTCCTCCCGTCGCACCCTGGTGATGAAAGCCGCTCACCTCTCCCTTGCGCAGCGGAGGAACCCCGTTCCTCCCCCACGACGCAGGAGGCCGGAGACACTCCGTCTACCCGCCGACCTGCCTCCAGCCGACCCGACCCGCGGGATCGCCAGCCCGAAGACGAACCCGACAGGGAACCACGCGCAGAACCGACCCCGGAGCCCACCAGGGAACCCGAGGACCGAAGGAGGTCTCCAAAGAAGGACGCAGACGAAGAGCCCAGGAGATTCCAGGAACCCAAGAAGGAGGAGGAGCCCAGGACCAGGTTCGGCAGGACCACCAAGCCCACCGAGGAGCCCAAGGCAGAACCTGCGGGCAAGCGGCCGACGAAGACAGGTGTGTACTCGACCCGTGCTCTGTTCCGTTGCCCTGGTCCTTCTGTTATTCTGTTTCTGTTGTGTTTTGGTCTTACTCTTGATTTCTGTATTAAAATCCAAGTGAGATATTATGATAATGACGATGATAAATGAAACAAAAAGTCAAAATAATTTCAACATAGCCATACGTGCAAAATTATAACAATACAATCAGTTGAAAAATACTAAAACAAAGCAACACCCTTCCTCTCTCTCAGCTCCAGCCAACGAGCCTTACTCAGAGCCGCTGCGGTACCAGAAGGGCCAGAGCCGCACGCCAGCCCAGACGGCGCCGCCCCAGTCCGACGTCGACAAGATCGTGAGTGCGTACGGCGTTGGGCCCACGGACGACAAGGGCATGCCGCTGTTCGGGCTGAGGGCGCTGAAGAGACGCTCGCCCGCCGTCACTGGTACGTATTTCGAGTCGATTGGGCGAAACGAGCAGCGAGTTCGAAATTTGCGTTCGGATCATTTACATTTTGTCTTTGAAGTGATGATGGTGTGGATGATGATGATGTTCGTGGTGATAATGAAGGTTCTTCCTGTGCCACCGCCCTTCAGAGACGCCGAAAGAGGAGGAACCAAAGCCAGAGGAGCCAAGGAGAGCCCCCGAATCCGACGAGGAGCGCGATCCTTCGTCAGAGGAGAAGCCCAAGAAGGACACGTTCGAGCCCACCGACGCGTCTGGGCGGCCACTCTTCGGTCTACGCGCCCTCAAGAAGACCACGACGGAGACGACGAAGGACACGTCCAGTAAGTTGTCCCTTTAAGATCCCGTTTTCTTTTTATTCTACGTTTTCTTCATCTCGTCGAACAAAAGTCCTGTTGGAATTTAATTATACAAATTCGACAGTCCAGGTTATGTATTCAACCATCACTTGTATGTCATCTGAAATGTCTACCAAAGATATTAAGTAATTTCAATGGGTCAGCCTACTCTTGTTGAACTAATGATAAAGATGTACAAGTTGCTTGTAACTAGACTTATTGTAATCATTTGGTAAAGAATAATTTAATTAGCATTTTATTATACTTCAGCTCTACATTATTTTGCAAATTTCTCCCCCGAAAATCGCAATCTGAAGCAATATAGAATATCCAACAGTGGCTGTCAAGGCAATTTAGATGAGTCTAGCCTAGACTTCATTTTCTCTGACAAATGGTATATTTCGTTTTCTATAATTTCAGCACGGGATACTACGACATCTGTTGTCGAGAGCAGTCGTCTTGTCTCCGGCATCACGAAGCGAACCACGCACACAAGTAAGTGACTGTGCACATCTTTCAAAATCTATTCTTAGAACTTCCTTTTTTTCTATATCTGATTTACTTTAACATTACTAACGAAGGGTTTTATTTGTTCTTTCGTATTTCAATATATACGATTTTTACAGCTTTTTGCCTCTGGTATTACAGACCATGTTAACTAAAAATAATAGACATATATCTCTAATACACAGTTGTTTTCCAGGACAAAATATATTTTTTTTCTCTCTTTTTTTAGCCATGATCTCCCAATAACTTATCATTAAATAAGAAATCGTACTTAATTACCAAGTAGTCTAATAGCTATAACCAAATATGGGCTTTTCTCTGTTCCTACCCACAAATTTAATTACAAGACTTAATAAATACAAACACATAATGTTGACTCGCTGCTACACACTTTAGCCGAAGAGGTCAGTACCACGGAGTCACCGCGAGACTCTGACGGCTCAGAGTCCGAGCAAGACTCCCAGGCTGACAGCGACGAAGAGCAGTCGCCAGAGGAACACGACTCGGATGAAGGTAATAAATATACAGTATGGATAGATACACATATACATGTTGATATGCATATGAATGTGTATAAGTATACGTATACATACACATATACATTCATATACATATGTGCATATGCATATGCACATGCACACACACACATAGTATATGTGTATACATGTATATATGTATATGTGTGCATATTTATATATATATATATATATATATATATATATATATATATATATATATGTATATTTATATATATACATATATATACATATATATACATATATATATATATATATATATATATATATATATATATATATATATATATATATATATATATATATATATATGTATATATATATATATACATACATATATATATATATATATATATATATATATATATATATATATATATATATATATATATATATGTATGTATATATATATATATATATATATATATATATATATATATATATATATATATATATATATATGTGTGTGTGTGTGTGTGTGTGTGTATATATATATACATACAGAAAAATACTTTTAAGAAAATAAGATATAAAGGCACATGAAATTCTTTTCCATTTTTATTTTGGTTCCATTCCCCTCGCGGTATCGGGTCCTTAACTTCCAGATATACTTTCTCATGCCTACTTACGTTCCAGCTTTCATGCTTATTGTTGGTGTTTTCATAATTATTATTACTATTGTTATTATTATTTCCTCTCCACCATATCTATTTTTTGTTATCATTAGTACTATTATTGCTTTTAGTTGTCATGATTACTATTCCTACTACTATTGTCTCCTCCTCAATTTGTCCTCAATTTATCATTATTATTAGTGTTGTTGCTGTTTTGTAGTTGTTTTTTATTATTATTACTATAATGATTGTTTCCTCCTCAGCTTATCTGTTATCATTATTATTATTATCACTCAATTTTGCTGTTATCATGATTATTACTTATCATTATAGTTTCCCCCGTCACCTTATGTATTATTATTGTATTTATTGATCACTTCATGTCATGATCAATAGTTTCCTCGTCACTTTATGTTGACTCTGGACATCCTTAACGAACGCCCTTGGTGAGGAACAGTCAGTCGCAGCAGAATCGCCCTTACTAATCTCCTACTGCGTCCACCACAGAGGAGACTTCGCCAGGACTCGTGAGGAACCTGCGGGACTCCTTCAAGAAGAAGACAGACGCCCCGGAAGACACCAGGTCCCCGGGGAAGGCCTCGCCGCGAAATAAGGACACTCCTGACGAAGAGGTCATCACCAAGAGGTCACAGCCTCTTAAGGAAATCCTGAAGTTGCACGAATCAAAAGGTATTTCGTAGTTGTTGGTTTGTGTTGTTTTTATCTTTATGATTTTAATTTTCATTCCTCATCAGCTCTTGTATTGTCAATGAGGGAATCCGAACCGAGCTTAGCGAGGATGAGGAAATTCAGTTCGTTCGTCAGTTAAGTTTCATGTGATAAAATTAGGAAATGTGTATGATGATACCTATTCGTACTTTCATGCAAAATAGATCGGAGAAAACATGTTTAATTATATCAAAACACCATTTTTAGTAATCAATAAAGTAATTCGAAATTGTCATTTCATAATTTTGTTTTGATTAGCGGGGGTTAACTGATATCGAGAGACAAAGCCTGAAACGGTGGTTCTTTTCCCGTCCCTAATTATGGAAGGGGTCAGCTGGGGATGGGGCAAAATCACCCCATATCTCGGGACACCTCTATACCATGGTATAGTGTGACTGGGGCTTAAATCACTTTAAGCTGTCAGCCTAATTGTACTGACAAAACTGAGTTTATTTTCTTGCGAAGTCCTTCCAAGTTCCCAAGTAGTATGTATGTAGTCCAGCCGACCGTTGGGCAGGACCTCTGATAGCGTGGAGCCAGGTCACTGGTACCCCTAAGTGAGAGAGTTCATTGCTAGTATGACTGTTTGAGAGTTCTTATTCCAGTAAAAGAAATGTATATATGTTATCAGCATGTATATACTCACACACAGACACACGTGTGTGTGTGTATGTATATGTATATATATATGTGTGTGTGTGTGTGTGTGTGTGTGTGTGTGTAAAGAGAGACAGAGAGCCGTATTATTGTGCTATGATTATTAATGAATGATATGTATACCATCGGCAGTGCAAGAACCGACATCAGCAGAGGAGTCGCCTCGGCCAAAGCCAAAGCAGAAATTGCGTGACAACTTCGAAGCCACAGTTGAACAGCAGGAGACTCGAGTGCACAAGACCTGGGACCTGGAGACTGACCTGAGCACGAGGTCGCTCAACATGAGGAATATCATCGAGCGACACGAAACGATCACGGCGGAGGAAGCGCCGAAACCGGAGAAGAAGTTGACTGGCATCCTCAAGAAGACATCCAGTTCCAACATTCTTATTACAGATACGCGTGCAGAAAAGACCACGCACGGTATGTATCCAAAAGAGATTTTATAAAGTGGCTGTAACATAAGGATGTGCTATTCTGTACCTGCACCTCAAAAAAAAAAAAAAAAAAATCATGGATATAAACATAAAGGCCCTTTCGTTGTAGCCGAGTCCGCTGACGACATCTTGGACACCCTGACGGAGGACCAGATCGCCAAGCTCTCCGAGGAGTTCGATCTGCGAGCTCAAGAAGACGGGGTCATCAAAACAAGGGAATCAATGGAGGAGCTAAGTACAGGATACCGAGTTACCAGCACGACAGAAGTTGACCATCCCGAAGGAGCCAAATTCGAGAGGAAGACGTCCTACACTGAGATCAAACTCCAGCAGCCCAGCAAGGAGGAGGGTGAGTGTTTGGTCCTAGTATGCATTGTAACTCAGATTGTGTGATATTATCGTCTCATTTGAATGCTGTGGATCCCAGTAGGCTTTTTTTTAAGTGTCGAGTTGCAGAAAGGCATCCTTTAGATAGTATATCACACTATCTGAGTGTTGTACATGACTGAAGTGCATGATAGAAACTAGAGATATTGTAAATAGCTCCCCCTTTAGTTGTAAGCCCTTCCTTAGTTGTCCCTGATGTTTATGTTGCTCCTTTTATGGAACGTAAAAAAAAACAAGAAAATCCGAAGGTGAGTATAGTGTACATGATGATCAATTACTTTGAATCTATTGTTGAATCTCAGGTACCTCTGAAGACGATCTCAGCGATCATGACGTTTCTGACGAGGACAAAAAGCCGAGAGACAGAGACATAACTGACACTTACAGACACATAAAACACACCGCAACAGCAACTGTCAAAGACACTAAGACATTAAAAACAACTACACAGATTTCTAGCACCACTGTTGATAAGTCTGAATGGGCTGATGTTATTTCTGTTCATAAGAAAACCACAAAGCAAAGTGCCAAACCGTTAGATAAGCCAGAAAAACTAACAAAGAAACCCGGCAGACCAGCTGAAGAGGAACCAGGTAAAGAGGAGCCCGAGGATATTAAACGAAGACCTAGTAAGACAAGTAAGCTTGGAAGGCCAGGCGATGAAGTGCCTGAGGATGTAAGGGGGAAACCTGGTAAACCTGGTCGCCCAGGTGAAGAAGAACCTTCTAAGAGGAAGCCAGGCAAGCCTGGAAGGCCAGGAGAGGAAGAGCCTGAAGGCGTAAGGAGGAGACCAGGCAAGCCTGGAAGGCCAGGAGAGGAAGAGCCTGAAGATGTAAGGAGGAGACCAGGCAAGTCTGGAATGCCAGGAGAGGGAGAGCCTGAAGATGTAAGAAGGAGACCAGGCAAGCCCGGAAGGCCAGGAGAGGAAGAGCCTGAAGACGTGAGGAGGAGACCAGGCAAGCCCGGAAGGCCAGGAGAGGAAGAGCCTGAAGACGTGAGGAGGAGACCAGGCAAGCCTGGAAGGCCAGGAGAGGAAGAGCCTGAAGATGTAAGGAGGAGACCAGGCAAGCCTGGAAGGCCAGGAGAGGAAGAGCCTGAGGACGTAAGGAGGAGACCAGGCAAGCCTGGAAGGCCAGGAGAGGAAGAGCCTGAAGACGTAAGGAGGAGACCAGGCAAGCCTGGAAGGCCAGGAGAGGAAGAGCCTGATGATGTAAAGAGAAGACCAGGCAAGCCTGGAAGGCCAAGAGAGGAAGAGCCCGATGGTGTAAAGAGGAAACCAGGCAAGCCTGGAAGGCCAGGAGAGGAAGAGCCTGAAGGCGTAAGGAGGAGACCAGGCAAGCCTGGAAGGCCAGGAGAGGAAGAGCCTGAAGACGTAAGGAGGAGACCAGGCAAGCCTGGAAGGCCAGGAGAGGAAGAGCCTGATGACGTGAGGAGGAGACCAGGCAAGCCTGGAAGGCCAGGAGAGGAAGAGCCTGAAGACGTAAGGAGGAGACCAGGCAAGCCTGGAAGGCCAGGAGAGGAAGAGCCTGATGATGTGAGGAGGAGACCAGGCAAGCCTGGAAGGCCAGGAGAGGAAGAGCCTGATGATGTGAGGAGGAGACCAGGCAAGCCTGGAAGGCCAGGAGAGGAAGAGCCTGATGATGTGAGGAGGAGACCAGGCAAGCCTGGAAGGCCAGGAGAGGAAGAGCCTGAAGACGTAAGGAGGAGACCAGGCAAGCCTGGAAGGCCAGGAGAGGAAGAGCCTGAAGACCTAAAGAGGAGACCAAGCAAGCCTGGAAGGCCAGGAGAGGAAGAGCCTGAAGACCTAAAGAGGAGACCAAGCAAGCCTGGAAGGCCAGGAGAGGAAGAGCCTGAAGACCTAAAGAGGAGACCAAGCAAGCCTGGAAGGCCAGGAGAGGAAGAGCCTGATGATGTAAAGAGGAGACCAGGCAAGCCCGGAAGGCCAGGAGAGGAAGAGCCTGAAGACGTGAGGAGGAGACCAGGCAAGCCTGGAAGACCAGGAGAGGAAGAGCCTGATGACGTGAGGAGGAGACCAGGCAAGCCCGGAAGGCCAGGAGAGGAAGAGCCTGAAGACCTAAAGAGGAGTCCAGGCAAGCCTGGAAGGCCAGGAGAAGAAGAGCCTGATGATGTAAAGAGGAGACCAGGCAAGCCCGGAAGGCCAGGAGAGGAAGAGCCTGAAGACCTAAAGAGGAGACCAGGCAAGCCCGGAAGGCCAGGAGAGGAAGAGCCTGATGATGTGAGGAGGAGACCAGGCAAGCCCGGAAGGCCAGGAGAGGAAGAGCCTGAAGACCTAAAGAGGAGACCAGGCAAGCCCGGAAGGCCAGGAGAGGAAGAGCCTGAAGACCTAAAGAGGAGACCAAGCAAGCCTGGAAGGCCAGGAGAGGAAGAGCCTGATGATGTAAGCAGGAGGCCAGGCAAGCCTGGAAGGCCAGGAGAGGAAGAGCCTGAAGACCTAAAGAGGAGACCAGGCAAGCCTGGAAGGCCAAGAGAGGAAGAGCCTGAAGACGTGAGGAGACCAGGCAAGCCTGGAAGGCCAGGAGAGGAAGAGCCTGATGACGTAAACAGGAAACCAGGCAAGCCTGGAAGGCCAGGAGAGGAAGAGCCTGAAGACGTGAGGAGGAGACCAGGCAAGCCTGGAAGGCCAGGAGAGGAAGAGCCTGAAGACGTGAGGAGACCAGGCAAGCCTGGAAGGCCAGGAGAGGAAGAGCCTGAAGACGTGAGGAGGAGACCAGGCAAGCCTGGAAGACCAGGAGAGGAAGAGCCTGAAGACGTGAGGAGGAGACCAGGCAAGCCTGGAAGGCCAGGAGAGGAAGAGCCTGAAGACGTGAGGAGGAGACCAGGCAAGCCCGGAAGGCCAGGAGAGGAAGAGCCTGGAGACCAGGCAAGCCTGGAAGACCAGGACGAGGAAGAGCCTGATGACGTGAGGAGGGAGACCAGGCAAGCCGGAAGGCCAGGAGAGGAAGAGCCTGAAGACCTAAGAGGAGACCAGGCAAGCCTGGAAGGCAGGAGAAGAAGAGCCTGATGATGTAAAGAGGAGACCAGGCAAGCCCGGAAGGCCAGGAGAGGAAGAGCCTGAAGACTAAAGAGGAGACCAGGCAAGCCCGGAAGGCCAGGAGAGGAAGAGCCTGATGATGTGAGGAGGAGACCAGGCAAGCCCGGAAGGCCAGGAGAGGAAGAGCTGAAGGACCTAAGAGGAGAACCAGGCAAGCCCGGAAGGCCAGGAGAGGAAGAGCCTGAAGACCTAAAGAGGAGACCAAGCAAGCCTGGAAGGCCAGGAGAGGAAGAGCCTGAAGACCTAAAGAGGAGACCAAGCAAGCCTGGAAGGCCAGGAGAGGAAGAGCCTGATGATGTAAGCAGGAGGCCAGGCAAGCCTGGAAGGCCAGGAGAGGAAGAGCCTGAAGACCTAAAGAGGAGACCAGGCAAGCCTGGAAGGCCAAGAGAGGAAGAGCCTGAAGACGTAGAGGAGACCAGGCAAGCCTGGAAGGCCAGGAGAGGAAGAGCCTGATGACGTAAACAGGAAACCAGGCAAGCCTGGAAGGCCAGGAGAGGAAGAGCCTGAAGACGTGAGGAGGAGACCAGGCAAGCCTGGAAGGCCAGGAGAGGAAGAGCCTGAAGACGTGAGGAGGAGACCAGGCAAGCCTGGAAGGCCAGGAGAGGAAGAGCCTGAAGACGTGAGGAGGAGACCAGGCAAGCCTGGAAGACCAGGAGAGGAAGAGCCTGAAGACGTGAGGAGGAGACCAGGCAAGCCTGGAAGGCCAGGAGAGGAAGAGCCTGAAGACGTGAGGAGGAGACCAGGCAAGCCCGGAAGGCCAGGAGAGGAAGAGCCTGAAGATTATGAGCCAGCTGAAGATTTTGATGCATATAATGAGACTCATTTATCTACTAGAGTTCACAGGTCATTTGAAAGTAGCACTATCAAGCAGTCTACTGTTAGTAGTACACTTGTATCAAGAACTGAGCAGCTAATGTCAACAAAGACATATGATTCTGAGGAAGATTATGAACCAGACGAAATTAAGGAAATACTAGGTGATGAGCCAGAACCTAGAGATGGAGATAAGGAACCTAGGAGATCTAGCCCACGTAGGCCAGGAGAAAAGCCTGATGCCAAAAGAATTAGTCCCAATGATGCAGGTAAAGAACCAAAGAAAGGTAGCCCAGGTGACAAAGATAAAGAGCCCAGAAAAATCAGTCCTGGAAGACCTGGTGAAAGAGACAAAGAACCCAGAAAAATTAGCCCTGGAAGACCTGGTGATAGAAACAAAGAACCTAGGAAGGATAGTCCAGGAAGGCCAAGTGACAAAGACAAGGAACCCAAAAAAGTTGGAAGGCCAAGTGAAACAGGGAAAGAACCCAGGAAGTATAGTCCTGGAAGACCGGGTGAGAAAGACAAAGAACCTAGAAAGGTTATTCCTGGCAAGCCAAGTGATAAAGAGAAAGATCCTAGAAAGGTTAGTCCTAGGAAACCTAGTAAACCAGATGATGAAGAGCCAGTTTCAGGTGATGATTCTGATACACATGAGTTGTCTACAACCGTACGAAAAACATATGAAACTAGTGACATCAGGCGATCCGCTGTTAGCAGAGCAGTGGTTTCTCGAACAGAGAAAATTCTGACCAGCCACATAACTGAGTCTGATGAGGAGCTCAAAAAAATACGAAGACCAAGAGAAGAATCTCCAGAGAAACCAGACAAGAAAACATTGAGCAGAGAACCAGTTGATGATGAAAGAGAGCCTGCCAAACGAAAGCCAAGCAAACCAGGTGATCGGCCAGAGAAGGGAAGCGTGAAACCTGGAGATGGGAAGATGAGTCCTAGAAAACCGGGTGACGAACCAGAAGTTACGAAAAAGAAACCAGGAAGACCAGGAGAAACAGACACAGGTAAAAGACCGAGTAAAGATAAGCCTGGTAGGCCTGATGATGATAATGTAAGGAAAAAACCAGGTAGACCAGGTGAAGAGCCTGAATATATGAGGAGAAAACCAAGCAAGCCAGGCGAGGAAGAACCGGAAGATGTTAGGAGACCACGCAAACCTGGAAAGCCTGATGAAAAAGAGCCTGAAGATGTCAAGAGGAAGCCGGGCAGGCCAGGCGACGAAGAACCAGAAGATATTAGGAGACCAGGAGATGAAGAGCCAGAAGACACGAGGGAAAGACCAGATAAGCCAGGTGAACCTGATACTTACGACACTGAGATAAATGTCACAAGAAGGGAAACCTTAGAGAGGAGTGCTGTTCAAAGATCCACCATTAGTACTGTGGTATCTAGAACAGACGAATTTGTGACAAGCCAAATCATTGATTTTGAGAATGTAGAAGATACAAAATCTGTGCGGAAACCAAAGGAAGGAGCTCCTGGAAAGAAAACCATAAAACCAATTAGTGGAAAGCCAGGGGTCACAAAGAAAGTAAGTAGACCAGGTAATGAAGAACCTGAGGATATCAAGAAACATCCAGGCAAAACAGGGAAGCCTGGTAGGCCGAGTGACAAAGAACCAGAGGAAACCATAAGAAGACCAGGCAAACCTGGAAAGCCAGATAATGAGAAACCTGAAGATAGCAAAAAGAGACCAAGCAAACCTGGTAAGCCAGGTAAGGATGAGCCTGAAGATCTTAAGAGGAGGCCAGGGAAGCCAGGTAGGCCAGGCGAAGAATCTGAAGACATAAGTAGGAGACCAGGCAAGCCTGGAAGGCCAGGAGAGGAAGAGCCTGAAGACGTAAGGAGGAGACCAGGCAAGCCTGGAAGGCCAGGAGAGGAAGAGCCTGATGACGTGAGGAGGAGACCAGGCAAGCCTGGAAGGCCAGGAGAAGAAGAGCCTGATGACGTGAGGAGGAGACCAGGCAAGCCTGGAAGGCCAGGAGAGGAAGAGCCTGAAGACGTAAGGAGGAGACCAGGCAAGCCTGGAAGGCCAGGAGAGGAAGAGCCTGACGATGTAAGCAGGAGACCAGGCAAGCCTGGAAGGCCAGGAGAGGAAGAGCCTGAAGACGTAAGGAGGAGACCAGGCAAGCCTGGAAGGCCAGGAGAGGAAGAGCCTGAAGACGTAAGGAGGAGACCAGGCAAGCCTGGAAGGCCAGGAGAGGAAGAGCCTGATGACGTGAGGAGGAGACCAGGCAAGCCTGGAAGGCCAGGAGAGGAAGAGCCTGATGACGTGAGGAGGAGACCAGGCAAGCCTGGAAGGCCAGGAGAGGAAGAGCCTGATGACGTAAACAGGAAACCAGGCAAGCCTGGAAGGCCAGGAGAGGAAGAGCCTGAAGACGTGAGGAGGAGACCAGGCAAGCCTGGAAGGCCAGGAGAGGAAGAGCCTGATGATGTAAGCAGGAAACCAAGCAAGCCTGGGAGGCCAGGAGAGGAAGAGCCTGAAGACGTAAGAAGGAGACCAGGCAAGCCCGGAAGGCCAGGAGAGGAAGAGCCTGAAGACGTAAGGAGAAGACCAGGCAAGCCTGGAAGGCCAGGAGAGGAAGAGCCTGATGATGTGAGGAGGAGACCAGGCAAGCCTGGAAGGCCAGGAGAGGAAGAGCCTGAAGACGTAAGGAGAAGACCAGGCAAGCCTGGAAGGCCAGGAGAGGAAGAGCCTGAAGACGTAAGGAGAAGGCCAGGAGAGGAAGAGCCTGATGATGTGAGGAGGATACCAGGCAAGCCTGGAAGGCCAGGAGAGGAAGAGCCTGAAGACCTAAAGAGGAGACCAAGCAAGCCTGGAAGGCCAGGAGAGGAAGAGCCTGATGATGTGAGGAGGATACCAGGCAAGCCTGGAAGGCCAGGAGAGGAAGAGCCTGAAGACTTAAAGAGGAGACCAAGCAAGCCTGGAAGGCCAGGAGAGGAAGAGCCTGAAGACCTAAAGAGGAGGCCAAGCAAGCCCGGAAGACCAGACGAGGAAGAACCTGAAGACCTAAAGAGGAGGCCAAGCAAGCCCGGAAGACCAGATGAGGAAGAACCTGAGTTAACAATAACAAGAAGAGAAACCTTAGAAAGGAGTACCATTCAAAGGTCCACAGTTAGTAGTACTATGATTTCGAAAACAGATGAATTTATTACAAGTCAGACCATTGACTTCGAAGAACCTGAAGATTTTATAAATAGACCAAGAAGGCCAGGAGAGGAAGAGCCTAAAGAAGTAAGCAGGAAACCAGGCAAGCCTGGAAAGCCAGGAGAGGAAGAGCCTGAAGACGTAAGGAGGAGACCAGGCAAGCCTGGAAGGCCAGGAGAGGAAGAGCCTGATGACGTGAGAAGACCAGGCAAGCCTGGAAGGCCAGGAGAGGAAGAGCCTGATGACGTAAGCAGGAAACCAGGCAAGCCTGGAAGGCCAGGAGAGGAAGAGCCTGAAGACCTAAAGAGGAGACCAGGCAAGCCTGGAAGGCCAGGAGAGGAAGAGCCTGATGACGTGAGGAGGAGACCAGGCAAGCCTGGAAGGCCAGGAGAGGAAGAGCCTGATGACGTGAGGAGGAGACCAGGCAAGCCTGGAAGGCCAGGAGAGGAAGAGCCTGATGACGTAAGCAGGAAACCAGGCAAGCCTGGAAGGCCAGGAGAGGAAGAGCCTGAAGACCTAAAGAGGAGACCAGGCAAGCCTGGAAGGCCAGGAGAGGAAGAGCCTGATGACGTGAGGAGGAGACCAGGCCAGCCTGGAAGGCCGGGAGAGGAAGAGCCTGATGACGTAAGGAGGAGACCAGGCAAGCCTGGAAGGCCAGGAGAGGAAGAGCCTGATGCTGTAAAGAGGAGACCAGGCAAGCCCGGAAGGCCAGGAGAGGAAGAGCCTGAAGACCTAAAGAGGAGACCAGGCAAGCCTGGAAGGCCAGGAGAGGAAGAGCCTGATGACGTAAGGAGAAGACCAGGCAAGCCTGGAAGGCCAGGAGAGGAAGAGCCTGAAGACCTAAAGAGGAGACCAGGCAAGCCTGGAAGGCCAGGAGAGGAAGAGCCTGATGACGTGAGGAGGAGACCAGGCAAGCCTGGAAGGCCAGGAGAGGAAGAGCCTGAAGACGTGAGGAGGAGACCAGGCAAGCCTGGAAGGCCAGGAGAGGAAGAGCCTGATGACGTAAGGAGGAGACCAGGCAAGCCTGGAAGGCCAGGAGAGGAAGAGCCTGAAGACGTGAGGAGGAGACCAGGCAAGCCTGGAAGGCCAGGAGAGGAAGAGCCTGAAGACGTAAGGAGGAGACCAGGCAAGCCTGGAAGGCCAGGAGAGGAAGAGCCTGAAGACGTAAGGAGGAGACCAGGCAAGCCTGGAAGGCCAAGAGAGGAAGAGCCTGATGATGTAAGCAGGAAACCAAGCAAGCCTGGAAGACCAGGAGAGGAAGAGCCTGAAGATGTAAGGAGAAGACCAGGCAAGCCTGGAAGGCCAGGAGAGGAAGAGCCTGAAGACGTAAGGAGGAGACCAGGCAAGCCTGGAAGGCCAGGAGAGGAAGAGCCTGAAGACGTGAGGAGAAGACCAGGCAAGCCTGGAAGGCCAGGAGAGGAAGAGCCTGATGATGTGAGGAGAAGACCAGGCAAGCCTGGAAGGCCAGGAGAGGAAGAGCCTGACGATGTAAGCAGGAGACCAGGCAAGCCTGGAAAGCCAGGAGAGGAAGAGCCTGATGACGTGAGGAGGAGACCAGGCAAGCCTGGAAGGCCAGGAGAGGAAGAGCCTGAAGACCTAAAGAGGAGACCAGGCAAGCCTGGAAAGCCAGGAGAGGAAGAGCCTGAAGACGTAAGCAGGAAACCAGGCAAGCCTGGAAGGCCAGGAGAGGAAGAGCCTGATGACGTAAACAGGAAACCAGGCAAGCCTGGAAGGCCAGGAGAGGAAGAGCCTGACGATGTAAGCAGGAGACCAAGCAAGCCTGGAAGGCCAGGAGAGGAAGAGCCTGAAGACGTAAGGAGGAGACCAGGCAAGCCTGGAAGGCCAGGAGAGGAAGAGGAAGAGCCTGATGACGTGAGGAGGAGACCAGGCAAGCCTGGAAGGCCAGGAGAGGAAGAGCCTGAAGACGTAAGGAGAAGACCAGGCAAGCCTGGAAGGCCAGGAGAGGAAGAGCCTGAAGACGTAAGGAGGAGACCAGGCAAGCCTGGAAGGCCAGGAGAGGAAGAGCCTGAAGACGTGAGGAGGAGACCAGGCAAGCCTGGAAGGCCAGGAGAGGAAGAGCCTGACGATGTAAGCAGGAGACCAGGCAAGCCTGGAAGGCCAGGAGAGAAAGAGCCTGATGACGTGAGGAGGAGACCAGGCAAGCCTGGAAGGCCAGGAGAGGAAGAGCCTGATGACGTAAACAGGAAACCAGGCAAGCCTGGAAGGCCAGGAGAGGAAGAGCCTGACGATGTAAGCAGGAGACCAGGCAAGCCTGGAAGGCCAGGAGAGAAAGAGCCTGATGACGTGAGGAGGAGACCAGGCAAGCCTGGAAGGCCAGGAGAGGAAGAGCCTGATGACGTGAGGAGACCAGGCAAGCCTGGAAGGCCAGGAGAGGAAGAGCCTGATGACGTAAGGAAGAGACCAGGAAGACCAGATGAACCTGATACATATGAGGAAACTGAGTTTTCTATAACGAGAAGGGAAATTTTAGAGAGAAATGCAGTCCAAAGATCAACAGTAAGTACTACTTTGGAGGCAAGAACAGATGAATCTGTGATAAGCCAAATCACCGAGTTCGAAGAACCTGAAGATATAAAGAGAAGGCCAAGCAGACCAGGGAAGCCTGGTAAACCAGGTGATAAGGAACCTGTGGAGAGTAAAAGGAGACCAGGAAGGCCAGGAGAGGAGGAACCTGAAGATGAGAGAAAACCAGGCAAACCTGATGGCATTACAAGGAGACCGGGCAGGCCAGATGAGGAGAAACCTGGGGATATTAGGAGGAGACCGAGCAGGCCAGGTGAGGAACCTGAAACTGACGATATTACGAGACGTTATGACTTGACTACATATGATGACATATCTAGAACTGAAGTTGTACAGGAAACATTAGTACAGAGGAGCATTGAGGAAACATCTTTCCGTAGCACAGTTGTAAGTGAGGCTGTTGTTTTGGATGATACAGTATATTATGTAAGTGAAGAGTACACCAGTGAAACAAGTGAAGAGGAAGTAGATGAAGAAACTGAAACTGATAAACCAAAGAAGAAACGTTCGCCAAATGACATTTCTAAAAAGAAAACGAGGGAGACAGAGAAACGTCCAAAGAGAAGACCAGAAGATGTGAAGGCTAGGCCAGGCAAGCCTGATGAAAAGGAACCCACAGGCATTAAAAAGAGACCGGGCAAGCCAGGCGAAAAGGAACCAGATGAGATTAGGAGAAGACCAGGTAGGCCAGGTGATAAGGAACCTGACGATGATAAGAGAAGACCAAGCAGGCCAGGTGATAAAGAGCCAGAAGACATTAAGAAAAAGCCAGGCCGGCCAGGTGATGAGCCTGGAGACATAAGGAAAAGACCAGGTAAACCGGGAGATAAAGAACCTGTGGATGTTAAAGGGAGACCAGCAAGACCAGGTGACAAAGAGCCCGAGGATACTAAGAGAAAACCAGGAAGACCAAGTGGCAGTAAGCCAGAAGATACTAAGAAGAGACCAGGAAAACCAGCAGATAAAGAACCTGTGAAAGGAAAGCTAGCCAGGCCGGCTAAACCCGGTGAACCAGGGGAGGAAGAGCCTGAGGACATTAAGAGGCGACCAGGCAGGGTGGGTGAAAAGAAACCAGATGACATTAAGAGGAAACCTAGTAGGCCAGGTGAGAAAAAACCCGAGGACACAGATAGAAGACCAGGCAAGCCAGGTGAAGAACCTGAAAGTATTAAAAGAAGGCCAGTCAAGCCAGGTGAGGAAGAAACTGATGATATTAGGGGGCGACCTGGTAGGCCAGGTGAGGAAGAACCTGAAGATGTTAAAAGAAGGCCAGGCAGGCCAGGTGAGGAAGAGCCTGAAGACATTAGGAGACGACCAGGCAGGCCAGGTAAGGAAGAACCCGAAGGTATTAAGAAAAGGCCAGGTAAACCAGGCGAGGAAGAACCTGATGATATTAGGAGGCGACCAGGCAGGCCAGGCGAGGAAGAACCTGAAGACATCAGGAGGAGACCAGGCAGGCCAGGTGAGGAAGAACCTGATGATATTAGGAGGCGACCAGGCAGGCCAGGCGAGGAAGAACCTGAAGACATCAGGAGGAGACCAGGCAGGCCAGGTGAAAAGGAACCTGAAGACATTAAGAGAAGACCAGGCAGGCCAGGCGAGGAAGAACCTGATGATATTAGGAGGCGACCAGGCCGGCCAGGCGAGGAAGAACCTGAAGACATCAGGAGGAGACCAGGCAGGCCAGGTGAAAAGGAACCTGAAGACATTAAGAGAAGACCAGGCAGGCCAGGCGAGGAAGAACCTGATGATATTAGGAGGCGACCAGGCAGGCCAGGTGAGGAAGAACCTGATGATATTAGGAGGCGACCAGGCAGGCCAGGTGAGGAAGAACCTGATGATATTAAGAGGCGACCAGGCAGGCCAGGCGAGGAAGAACCTGATGATATTAGGAGGCGACCAGGCAGGCCAGGTGAGGAAGAACCTGAAGACATTAAGGGAAGACCAGGCAGGCCAGGTGAAAAGGAACCTGAAGATATCAAGAGGAGACCAGGCAGGCCAGGTGAGGAAGAGCCTGATGATATTAGGAGGCGACCAGGCAGGCCAGGTGAGGAAGAACCTGATGATATTAGGAGGAGACCAGGCAGGCCAGGCGAGGAAGAACCTGATGATATTAGGAGGCGACCAGGCAGGCCAGGTGAAAAGGAACCTGAGGACATTAAGGGAAGACCAGGCAGGCCAGGTGAAAAGGAACCTGAAGATATCAAGAAGAGACCAGGCAGGCCAGGTGAGGAAGAGCCTGATGATATTAGGAGGCGACCAGGCAAGCCAGGCGAGGAAGAACCTGATGATATTAGGAGGCGACCAGGCAGGCCAGGTGAGGAAGAACCTGATGATATTAGGAGGCGACCAGGCAGGCCAGGTGAAAAGGAACCTGAGGACATTAAGGGAAGACCAGGCAGGCCAGGTGAAAAGGAACCTGAAGATATCAAGAAGAGACCAGGCAGGCCAGGTGAGGAAGAACCTGATGATATTAGGAGGCGACCAGGCAGGCCAGGTGAGGAAGAGCCTGATGATATTAGGAGGCGACCAGGCAGGCCAGGTGAGGAAGAGCCTGATGATATTAGGAGGCGACCAGGCAGGCCAGGTGAGGAAGAGCCTGAAGATATTAGGAGGCGACCAGGCAGGCCAGGTGAGGAAGAACCTGATGATATTAGGAGGCGACCAGGCAGGCCAGGTGAAAAGGAACCTGAGGACATTAAGGGAAGACCAGGCAGGCCAGGTGAAAAGGAACCTGAAGATATCAAGAAGAGACCAGGCAGGCCAGGTGAGGAAGAACCTGATGATATTAGGAGGCGACCAGGCAGGCCAGGTGAGGAAGAACCTGATGATATTAGGAGGCGACCAGGCAGGCCAGGTGAGGAAGAGCCTGAAGACATTAGGAGGCGACCAGGCAGGCCAGGTGAGGAAGAACCTGATGATATTAGGAGGCGACCAGGCAGGCCAGGTGAGGAAGAACCTGATGATATTAGGAGGCGACCAGGCAGGCCAGGTGAAAAGGAACCTGAAGACATTAAGGGAAGACCAGGCAGGCCAGGTGAAAAGGAACCTGAAGATATCAAGAGGAGACCAGGCAGGCCAGGTGAGGAAGAACCTGATATTAGGAGGCGACCAGGCAGGCCAGGTGAGGAAGAACCTGATGATATTAGGAGGCGACCAGGCAGGCCAGGTGAGAAGGAACCTGATGACATTAAGGAGCGACCAGGCAGGCCAGGTGAAAAGGAACCTGAAGATATTCAAGGAAGAGACCAGGCAGGCCAGGTGAAAGGAACCTGAAGATATCAAGAAGAGACCAGGCAGGCCAGGCGAAAGGAACCTAATGACATTAGGAGGCGAACCAGGCAGGCCAGGTGAGGAAGAACCTGATGATATTAGGAGGCGACCAGGCAGGCCAGGTGAAAAGGAACCTGAAGACATTAAGGGAAGACCAGGCAGGCCAGGTGAGGAAGAACCTGATGATATTAGGAGGCGACCAGGCAGGCCAGGTGAGGAAGAACCTGAAGACATTAAGGGAAGACAGGCAGGCCAGGTGGAGGAAGAACCTGATGAGATTAGGAGGCGACCAGGCAGGCCAGGTGAAAAGGAACCTAAAGACATTAAGGGAAGACCAGGCAGGCCAGGCGGAAAAGAACCTGAAGATATCAAGAGGAGACCAGGCAGGCCAGGTGAAAAGGAACCTAAAGACATTAAGGGAAGACCAGGCAGGCCAGGTGAAAAGGAACCTAAAGACAGTAAGGGAAGACCAGGCAGGCCAGGTGAAAAGGAACCTGAAGATATTAAGAGAAGACCAGGCAGGCAGGTGAAAAGGAACCTGAAGATATCAAGAGGAGACCAGGCAGGCCAGGTGAGGAAGAACTGATGATATTAGGAGGCGAACCAGGCAGGCCAGGTGAAAAGGAACCTGAAGATATCAAGAAGAGACCAGGCAGGCCAGGCGAAAAGGAACCTGAAGATATCAAGAAGAGACCAGGCAGGCCAGGTGAAAAGGAACCTAAAGACATTAAGGGAAGACCAGGCAGGCCAGGTGAAAAGGAACCTGAAGATATTAAGAGAAGACCAGGCAGGCCAGGCGAAAAGGAACCTGAAGATATCAAGAGGAGACCAGGCAGGCCAGGTGAAAAGGAACCTGAAGATATCAAGAAGAGACCAGGCAGGCCAGGCGAAAAGGAACCTGAAGATATTAAAAAGAGACCAGGCAGGCCAGGTGAAAAGGAACCTGAGGACATTAAGGGAAGACCAGGCAGGCCAGGTGAGGAAGAACCTGAAGACATTAAGAGAACACCGGGCAGGCTAGGTGAGAAGCCAGGAGATGAAGAACCTGAGTATACGAGGAGAACAGGTTTGCCAGATGAAGAAGAACCTGGGGATATTGTGAAAAGACCAGGCAAGCCAAGTAGGCCAGATGAGGAAGAACCAGAAGATATTAAAAGAAAACCAAGCAGGCCTAGTAGGCCAGATGAGGAAGAACCAGAAGATATTAAAGGGAAGCCAGGCAGGCCAGGTGAAGAAGAACCAGAGGGTATTAGGAGGAAACCAGGTATACCAGATGAGGAAGAGCCTGAGGATATTAGAATGAGACCTGGCAGGCCAGATGAGGAAGAACCAGAGGACAGCAAAAGAAGACCAGGTAGGCCAGATGATAAAATGAGGCCAAGTAGACCAGGTGACAAAGAACCTGAGGATGAGGGTGAACTTGATGATGATGAAGAAAGGAGACCAAAAAGACCAGGTGCAAAAGACACTATTACAAAAAGACCAGGTAAACCAGGTGATGAAGAACCTGAAGACGTTAAGAGGAGACCAGGCAAACCAGGAAAGCCTGGTAAGATGGGTGTAACAGAACCTGAAGATGCAAATAAGAAACCAAGCAGAAAACCTAGCCGGCCTGGTGAAAAGGAACCAGCAACACCGACTAGAAAACCTAGTCAACCTGGTGATAAGGAACCAGTGACAACTGGCAGAAAACCTAGCCGTCCTGGTGATAAGGAACCAGTAACACCTGGTAGAAAACCTAGTCAACCTGGTGATAAGGAACCAGTGACAACTGGCAGAAAACCTAGCCGTCCTGGTGATAAGGAACCAGTAACACCAGGTAAAAAACCTAGCCGTCCTGGTGATAAGGAACCAGTAACACCTGGTAGAAAACCTAGTCAACCTGGCGAGAAGGAACCAGTAACACCTGGTAGGAAACCAAGTCGTCCAGGTGAGAGGGAGCCTTCCCCATTAGTAAGAAAATCAGTAGATAGGGAACCTGGAGTGACAAGAAAACCAAGTAAGACAGGAGAGCCTTTGAAGGACAGAAGAACACCTAGCAGATCAAGTCTTGACAGAGATGATGACATTACACGGCGAAGGATATCATCAACTCGTAGATCCCCATTCACAGGAAGGGAAGGCACCCCAGAATCCGATGACCTGCGACGAGGAGTACGAAGGGTTTCCCATCCAAGGAAGAATTCTCTTGATTACACTCGGAGACCAAGCCCTGACATTGAAGGCAGGACTTACAGCACTCAGAGCCTTTCTGGAGTGTCTACTACAAGCTCTGTCCCAAGTTACATGAGACCTCGAGGTGAATCTTGCAATTGCCGTCGCCATACACCTGAAAGAGACATTCATGAAATTGAAGACTCCATCCTCAACTCTTACAAGTATACACGATGCACCAAGAAGATCACCAAGCCACCTGTCACCTACCACTACACTTACACAATTTCACCGGATCCCTCAGCTGGAGGAGGTGGTGGTGGGTCTTATTCAGTATACTTTGGACCAAAAGACAAACCTACCCCTACTCATGCAGCTGGGTTGCCCACTCGAGTTTCTCCAGCCAGAGAAACTCCGCAAGATGATCCTTCAGGGCAGCCAGAGGACAAAGGTCGTCCAAGGGATCAAGCCCCTGATCCTTCTGGGCAGCCTGATGACAAGGGTCGTCCGGGAGTGACCTATTATTATGTAGATAAATTTGGACATCGTGTGCCAGTTCCTGAAGGAGAACGTCCAGATGATAAGGGTCGTCCTGGTCACCCTGATGAAAAAGGTCGTCCAGATCAGCCTGGTGACCAGGGTCATCCTGTCCACCCATCAGATCACCCTGATGACAAGGATCGTCCAGGCCACCCATCAGATCGCCCAGATGACCAGGATCGTCCAGGAGTGACCTATTATTATGTGGACAAATTTGGGCACCGTGTGCCAGTCCCAGAAGGAGAACGTCCGGGTGACAGGCGTAGTCCTGATCGCCCTGACGATCAAGGACGTCCAAAACAGCCTGATGACAAGGACCGCCCTGATGACAAAGATCGTCCAGGAGTGACCTATTATTATGTAGACAAATTTGGACATCGTGTGCCAGTCCCAGAAGGAGAACGTCCAGGTGACAGGCGTAGTCCTGATCGCCCTGACGATCAAGGACGTCCAAAACAGCCTGATGACAAGGACCGCCCTGATGACAAAGATCGTCCAGGAGTGACCTATTATTATGTAGACAAATTTGGACATCGTGTGCCAGTCCCAGAAGGAGAACGTCCAGGTGACAGGCGTAGTCCTGATCGCCCTGATGACCAGGGACATCCAAAACAGCCTGATGATAAGGATCGTCCTGACCGCCCTGATGACAAAGATCGTCCAGGAGTGACCTATTATTATGTAGACAAATTTGGACACCGTGTTCCAGTCCCAGAAGGAGAACGTCCAGGTGACAGGCGTAGTCCTGATCGTCCCAATGACCAGGGTCGTCCAGGCCACCCATCAGATCGCCCTGATGATCAGGGTCATCCTGGCCACCCTTCAGATAAGCCAGATGATCAAGGTCGTCCAAGCCACCCCACAGATCGTCCTGATGATAAGGATCACCCTGATGGCCAGCCTTCAGATCGTCCAGGAGTGACTTACTATTATGTAGACAAGTTTGGGCATCGTGTGCCGGTCCCAGAAGGAGAACGTCCAGGTGACAGGCGTAGTCCTGATCGTCCTGGCCACCCATCAGATAAGCCAGATGATCAAGGTCGTCCAGGACACCCCACAGATCGTCCTGATGACAAAGATCATCCAGGCCGCCCTTCAGATCGCCCTGATGACCAAGGTCAGCCTGGCCAGCCTTCAGATCGTCCAGGAGTGACTTACTATTATGTGGATAAGTTTGGACATCGTGTGCCAGTCCCAGAAGGAGAACGTCCAGGTGACAGGCGTAGCCCTGATCGCCCTGATGACCAGGGACGTCCAGGACACCCTTCAGACCGTCCTGATGACCAGGGCCGCCCTGATGACAAGGATCGTCCAGGAGTGACCTATTATTATGTGGACAAGTTTGGACATCGTGTGCCAGTCCCAGAAGGAGAACGTCCGGGTGACAGGCGTAGTCCTGATCGCCCTGATGACCAGGGTCGTCCAGGCCGCCTTTCAGATCGTCCTGATGACCAAGGTCGCCCTTCAGACCGCCCTGATGACAAGGATCGTCCAGGCCGCCCTTCAGATCGTCCTGATGACCAGGGTCAACCTGGGCAACCTTCAGATCGTCCAGGAGTGACCTATTATTATGTGGACAAGTTCGGGCACCGTGTGCCAGTCCCAGAAGGAGAACGTCCAGGTGACAGGCGTAGTCCTGATCGTCCTGACGATCAAGGACGTCCAAAACAGCCTGATGACAAGGATCGTCCTGACCGCCCTGATGACAAAGATCGTCCAGGAGTGACCTATTATTATGTGGACAAGTTCGGGCACCGTGTGCCAGTCCCAGAAGGAGAACGTCCAGGTGACAGGCGTAGTCCTGATCGTCCTGACGATCAAGGACGTCCAAAACAGCCTGATGACAAGGATCGTCCTGACCGCCCTGATGACAAAGATCGTCCAGGAGTGACCTATTATTATGTGGACAAGTTTGGACATCGTGTGCCAGTCCCAGAAGGAGAACGTCCAGGTGAGAGGCT